ATCAAAAGCAAGACAAAAGAACACGCGTTAGGGTGATACCAGTAACGCTACACGCCCAAAACTTGACGAGAGCCTGATTCCACCGTATCGTGACACATTTTTTAAAAAGTTAATAGTTTCAAATATCTTGGAAGCACAGTGTCTTCAAATACATGTATGGATGAAGAGAGCATTTTTGTTTTGTTTAGCCTTTTGGTTGCATGGGGTATGAAGCTTACTCACTTGGCTTTATCCGTCCTCTTGTACCTCTAGAGCGTAGAGGGGAGAAAGAGCTTTCTGTCTCTAGCAAGCTGGATGGCCTGGCTGGGTGTGATGTAGTGTGTTCTCATGGTATCCTTCATACCCTTGACCGAAGTCTTCATTGAGTGGTATGAAGCAATAATAGTTAATTGATTAAAGTATTGTATAAAAGAGGGTACTGTTTCATCATCATAATAATAAATAGCATTTGTATAGCTTCTACTCCCGCTCAACAGCAGGCTCTATGCGCTTTACACTATATTATTACCCCAGCAGACCATAGAACACTCAAAAACATTCTCAGCTTCCCGGGAAGCATACAGTGCAAGCAGCTGATTAAGTGCTCAAATACTAATAAACTGATACGATTTTTCGCTGTCTTTAGCTGGGTACCCATTCTCACCTGGGAGAAGTGGGGAAAATTCGTGTAAAGAGACTTTCCCAAGGACACAACGTCGGGTCCCTGACGGGATCATCATATTCGAGGACATGTTTCAACGGCAAATAGTACGAACCTGGAGTAATATAACAGCCTTTTAACACTATTGTAATAGTTCTGCTTTCCTTAACAAAAGCATGTTCTCTAAAAATTGATGTATACCGTCTTTCTTTTTGTTAGTTTTGTTACTCTCTTGTAGCACCTCGAATCTTCTGCACTTTTATGACATTATAGTGCTACAAGTGCCGTAAAACTCTTCCTTAAACATACAACACAGACTGCCTCGTATGCAAAGACAGGCTGACCTCATTTTCAAAATGTAAACAAAAGTACAACTGAATGACGTCTGGGATCATCCCCCCCCCAACCCTCCCA